GTGTGTGTTTTTTTTAACAAAAATGGTACGGGTTGTCGTTGGATACTGGGGAACTGATTTTAGAAGGAATGATTTTAAGCGGAATGACATGCTTGCACTTTATCAAGGGGCTCTGTTGAATTTTAGAGAAAGCCCAGCTGATTTCCTCGCATTCTCTTTTAAAAACGCATATTTCGGATCCGTTCGGTTTGTAACATGCTTTCCCACTTGAAGTGTTCCCTATCGGTTATGTCAAAAAAACGTTCCATACATTTTTGCTGCTAAAGTGACTGGTGCCTGTTATACCAAGAATTACTGATAGTCCAAACCTAGTTGACCATTGGTGGAAGGCAGGTGCGGATTGCGTCCCCAAGTGGGGTTAAGGGTTGATATGAGAACGTCCTGCTTTGTCGTCATTTCAGATTGGAACAGATGTGAAGATGTACCCTCAGGGTGGCATTTTCATTCAGATCCAGTTGTTTATTGAGACCTTGCTGACTGTTATCAACCCATTGGCTCATTCGGAGCATAATTACTAACACGTAGAATTCTGATTGGCCGCACCATTTGAGGAATGGCGACATGGTGATGTCACTAGGAATCTGGAGGCTCAGTCCTAGGCCCTTGGTTCAGATGCCACCAGGGCAGCTGCTTGAATCGAAAATTCAATAAAATAAAACAAGATCAGGAGTTTAAGGTTTGCCTTATTGACAGTGACCATGAAATGGTCATTTTTGTGCCGTTAAAAATGCATCTAATCCATAATCCCCTTTTTGGTGAAGTGAATCTGCCATCCTTACCTGGTCTGGCCTACATGTGACTCCAGAACCACAACGGAGTGGCTTGTTCTGAACCGCCCTCCGAAACGGCCCTCAGGTCAACAGGCAATTGTGGATAGGCAAAGAAATGCCAACCTTGCCACTGATGCCTGCATTCAATCCATCCCAATAGGTCAAAGTGCCTTACTCAATCTCTGACCAAAATGTTCAAAATTGTTGAATTGAAAACACTCTTCGTTGTTGCCCCTGTTATTTTGCTCCTGGGTTTTGCTGAAATGTTTCGTGGTGGGAGACCCTCTAGGACACTTCCGGAGAGTCGACGAACCTCCCCATTCACTGCATTTTCAGTCCGTAGATTCGGCCAACCGAGCAATCTTCCATTGTTTAATCTGCCGGTGAACCGATAAAATGACTCCCACCTTCAAATTTTTTTTTTTGGTTGTGCAATGCGTTCTCCGCGCAAAGAGTTAATGGAGCCATTACCATGTGTAAAGATTGCAGGGCTAAGAGATTATTTTCAAAGCTTACTTAGAATATATACCTAGAAACATATATTTGAATGAAATGTGTACAGTTTTCATGTTTTTGTTAACGGGCTGCTGGTTTAACAAAGCTGAAGGCATTGAAATGATATGTTTGCTTTCAGTTCCCACACAATGGCTAGATTTAACATTTAGAGAGCTGCTCTCCTCTCCAATGGTAGCATTGGAGAGTAGACTGAAGAGGGCACCCTGTCAAGTTGGAGGACAGTGCACAGTTCTGATCTCCTTATTTCCAAAAGTGTCGCAGAGGCACTGGCGAAGGTGCAAGACAGATTTGCAAAGACATTACAAGATTTGAGAGAATATGGCTATCAGGAAAGACTTATTTTGAAACCGGAAAAGCAAAGGTTGGGAGATTTCTTTTGAAAGTGTTATGAAAGGATTCAACAGGGTAGGCAGAGAAGGTTGTTGCCAATTGTCAGGGTATGCCCAAAGTCAGGAGTCAGTGTTGGTCAGTGATCCTACGGTCAGAGGGCCTCCAATCTACCTACCTGCAGACTAGACTTTTGTTATAATCATAGAATCCCTACAGTGTGGAACAGGCGATTCGGTCTATCAGTCCATACTGACCCTCTGAAGAGCATCCCACCCATACAC